ATCCATAGGATTAAGAGCAGTGCGAAAGGCAGAGAGAATAGGGTAAGGATAAGATGCCTGTTCTGATGACTTAATGTTCTTATTTTATTTCTAATCCATAGATGGTTTCAGAATACTGCTTAGTTTTACTTTAGTTTGTCTTGAGCCTTTCCTTGACATTTTCCATAGTCTGAGGTATTTGCTGGCATGGAGTAGGGAGAAGTGTGATTTTAGGCTTTGAAACTAAGGGGACTGGAGGATATTACCTTTGAAGACCTAAGGTTTTAATGATTTTTATGATTATTTTTTTATTTAAGAGCTTTCTGTTTTATTTTGTGATAGTAAAAATCATTCCTCAATCTCCAGGCATCTTCCTTCTCTTATGCTACTGGAGTTATTTTGATCACTAATGTTATGGCTACTAAAGAAAGACTGAATTACTTATTATCAAGAATGATGTAAAGAAGGTTTAAGAATTAAGAGTGTGTTTGTATTAGGCAATTTCTAGCTTTGAGATTTTTAATTTGTTCCTATTATCAACGTTCCTGGTAACCAAGTTTTTTTCAGTCTTTCTTTTTTAATTTTCATTTTTTAATTGAATTTATTGGAGTGACATTGGTTAATAAAATTATATAGGTTTCAGATGCACATTATAGAATTGTTATTGGACAGCCCCCTGAATCGGAGGGGGAGGGCTGCCCTATCCTCGGCTCTTGTCAATCTCATAAGAATGATTTTAGATGAGTGACAGAGAGTAGCATTGCAGCAAAGCAAATGAATTTATTAAGGAAGCAAGGCAAGCAGATTTATTAAAAATACATTTGGCAGTAGCATGAGCAGGCACCCAGCTAGTCTGAGCGCCTTGCCTGGTGGAGGTTTTGGTATTTTATACTTTTCTGTCTAAGTTTCAAGGTTCCTCTGCCAGGTATCTTGGGCAACAGACTAGATTTCGTCTCTCTTTTATTTTGTTGGTGGCTTTTCCTAGAATGTTTGTACATACATCTGGTGATTTTATCTTGGCAAGCCCCAAGACTGCTGACTTCTTTGTTCAGTGGGTAAGATAAAACTTCCCTCCCCTC